CTTTTATTTTTCTTTGTTCCCACCTGTTTCTTTAAGTTACAACAAACACTAAATAGCCTGTTTTTGTCTGACATTAATTTAACTTACATTTGCATCTAATCCGAAACCGACCAACTTTCCGAAATGTACTGCGCACTTGAAATTTAAGGTCGTTTTATTGAAATCGTTGCGAAAACTGAAACGCTAAAATTTCAGACGTTTTACCATAAAATAAGTCAAGACAAGAACAGAAGTTTGTGGCTACGTGGAATTAGCAGTCTAAAGGTGAGAAGGGAAAAGCGAACTCTTAGCGAATTCCAATGGCGGTGGCATGAAAGCCAAACTTGCGCCAACGGTTACTAGAGGTGTAGGTTCCACCGCCTCCAAAATGCAGCTCTGTCAAGAAGAAGAACTCGTTCGGCATGGTGCGACCAGGAATGGAAATTGCTTTGGAGCGCCAGTCTACCGCCACGCGGCTTGTTTCATAGATATGCCAGCTAGCACCATAGTTACTGGGAGTTTGCCGATTGTGGTTTGGCATGAATGCAAAAAGGCTGTTGGGATTGGCATCGCCATTTTTGAACTGGATTATGTGCCCGTTGGATTTGAAACCCTGGATACTACGGCGACGTGCAGCTGATGCTGGAATAATACCGAGGAAGATGTAATCGTTCATGAAGGCGTTCATCGGTCTGGTGTAACCCTGGAATCTGTTGACTAACAACCCAAACTCTGTGTTGGCGAAATGCGGATGGGGTTGGATCAGAGTGTATGACTCGCCACCACTGTTCTTCTTTAACTTAAGCAGGACATTGTACTTGTCTCGGAATAAAGCTCTGACAATACTGTTCGCTCGAAATGGTGTTCTTGTGAGGCTGCGGGGAAGAAAGGTGAAGCCACCGCCATGGATTGCCATCTCGCAGTACACGCGAATGGGTCGTGTGTATGGCCCGAGCGGCTGTATGTAATACATCCCACTTGGTGCGTTCCAATAACGAAGGCTGTAGCAGTCTGGGGGAAACCACCATCCATGAACACTCTTTGTTTCCAACTGTATGAGGGTACAGAGAACGACAAGGAATCTCAAGGAACACATACTGTAATTAAACAAATTGAAGTAGTTATAAGTAAGTTGCAAATCCAAACATTAAACTTCAATACAATCAAATTGTGAATTCGCCATTTCTTTCTAACAAACTCATGATGGCAAAATCTATTTACCTTTACCCTCGAATATCGATTGTCTGAGGGTAAAGAAAACGCGTGAAAACTTAAGGAATCTGCCAATAATTATAATAATAATAATAAAATTAAATTAACAATCACAATTTCCCAATTATTCCTGATCGAACTACGAGGTAACTGATAAGGCGTCTGTAAGTAAAGGGTCAGGGCATGATCGCAGAGTAAAATCTTCCCTTAAATTAGCTAGATCTCTACCTGCTCAGTTCTCCGACTTAGCTCGACGATGTGTTCGAAACCTCTTCGAAGAAGACT